TTGGGTACACCTCTTATGCGAACTCCAAGGTTGCTTGAAGATCGAACTGGTGGTGGCGTATCGATCTTTTTGCCCATTTTCACCGCACCGAGTGATGCGGCGAAGTTCTGCGGCTTCGTGTTTTTCACCTCATTGAGTTCTAGTTTCACAGTTTCAATCAGGGCATTTAATTTGGTAATGTTCTCTGTTAGTGTCTTCATTTGGTCTTTGATTTCAACTAGTTGGGTATCGATTTTGGTCAAATTGTTTTTTTGGTCAGTTTTTGGGTCTTGCTCTTTTTTGTTTACACATTGGTTGCAAATATTGAGGATGTTTGCTTTACACTTGATGAAAACGTCAAGGCTATTTTGATCAAAATCAGTGCATTCCCATGTCATGTGTAAAACTTTTTGACAAAAAAAACACACAAATTTTTCGTTCTTGATTTATTCTTGACAAGTGTAACTTTTGTTTCCTCGATTCGCCATTCTGATTTTGCTTTACAGAATTTGGTTTAATCAGATTGTTACTTCAACTTATTTGTAGTGACTTAACTTGGGGAATGATAGAATACACTCAACCATGTGGCTCCTCGCTAGAAGCCCTTTGGTTTAATATTTTTTACTTTTAAACTGCAACAAAAAGAAAAAGCAGTTGATTCCTCGAAAGGAGCCCTTTGAATTCTGATTTACTACAAGGGGAGTATGTGCTTATTTTATCGACTGCCGAGGAATGATCCGCACTTGCAATCAAAAGCTGAGGAGCACTCGTACACGTTTGGGTGTCCTTGCTGTTCGAGTTCGATCGAGTAATGTTCGTAAAAAACTTTCGTTTTTAGTATCACTCGAATTTGACTTATTCCCTTCTCGCTGAGGTGCACACAGTCACGATCGGAAATAAGCGTGGGGGTATACCGATTAAGTACAATTTTTTTGAAACAGTTATCAACGTGTTTGCAAGGCTTTCGATTCGCTGAAATACTTCCTATGGAGTAGCCACAGAGGGATGGTATCCACTGTATAAGTCGTTTCCGCCGACAAATAAAACAATGATTTCGTGTTTACCTTGTGGAGGGACAAATTGATATACGTTGTTTACAGTTGCTCGGGGTAGCGATAGGATATTGATATTACCAAATGTCAGGTACCTGGCTTGGGATTCTGCAATCAGGAGAGCTTTCTTTGGGGATGTTTTAAACAGGTGATATCTCATTGAAATCTTGTCTCTAAAATCCCCCCATTGGAGGCCTTCCACACAAGATTTTAGACATTTCACATGAAACACACTATTTAATAAAAATTCGTTTTCTCAATCTGGTTAGGTCTTCCTTGTTCGCTATTGGTTGCGTTTATCAGTTCTAGCCATTGTTTTTTCTCAACTGTTCCTCAAAATCTTGCTTCTACATTGGTGTTCTACATCATTTTTTGGCACTAGTTTTTCGGCACTGTTCCTAATTGCATTTTCTATATTAGTTTTTTTGCACTGTTAGGTGTCACCAAAAGAGGGGTCCCCACTTCGCAAATCCGAAAGGGTCCATATCCCCAACCCCGTATTGTCCTGAATTTATCAATCCCGAAGGGTCCCTCTTTCACCAATCCGGAAAGGTCCTTATTTTGACACCCAGGAAACCCATCTGTTGTGGTATCTGTGTTTTACCGTTGATGTCGGCTATTTGATCATCAATCGGACTCGATACGTCCAAGATGTTTTAATTGGATTTATCGGTAAAGCGATTACAAAGCTGCCTTATTTTATCTTATTTTTCTTCCGACTTGTTATCAGCTGGAGATAAATGATTTAATCTGATTTTACCGGCTACTTCATGATAGTTTAGACCGTAAATAGAGAGACCATGTGCAACCTTCATCTGGATGCAAATTGTTAACTAGGTATCAAAACACCTTCGCTCAAAGTATCTTTAAATATGAGCGAAGGCCGACCAACTTTTTTTGTTAGAACGCGGACAAATGTTTTTTGAAATTCTTGATTCTAATGCATAAGGTTGTCTATCATCAGGGCTTCGTTCCCTTTTACATACTTGATCTGTTTGTTCCTGCAATCCTGTCAATTTTGCTTAGTTACCATTGTACAGGCTTATGAATCGCCATACCACTGTCGAAGTATGACGAAAGATCGCTGAGAATAGCTAGGCCGAAACTCTGGAAAAACGTTCCTGCTGTTCTGAAAAACTTTTCTTTGAATTCCATTTCAGGAAGAACTTGAAAACTTATTTATTTAATTAGTCGTTTCCTCTTACTTAAATTATCATGTTTTTTGTGCACACTTAAACGCTAAAAATCATGATAATATTAATCATAATAATCATGATAATAATCATAATCATAATAATTATATTAATAAGACTAATAATAAAAAACAGTCCATATACTGAGGACAGTGAAACCAGATCTTGATTTATCACTTCCGAAGTTCAAAGAAAACGAATATGACGAACTTAACCAATGTAATTGGTTTGCCATTGTACTTGGTTTGTAAACTGCAGATCTAAACCCTTTTTTGCTTTAATTTTAATTCTTTGAGTTTCCTATATGGGCCATAAAGTTAAATGAACCTTTATTCTGGTTATCATTGCTGGTAATCATTGCTGGTTACAATTTAGGGGCTGTTTTCATGGCTATTTAAAAGGACCTTAAATCTGAAGAACTTAATCTGAAAACTCAATTAGAACTCAATTATGACAAACTTATCGTAGGCTCAAATAAGTGAATTTACGCTGTTTTTTAATCTTCAAAACTTCTTCAAGCATTACATAGTTACCTCATGTCATAGGTAAGGACAACGCAGCTCCTATGCCTGGTAAGTATATGTGCTTCTCAGTATTCAGGGCAATCAGGGTGCTCAGGGCAATCAGCAGGAAACAGATGACTCTCTCTTGAAGTCGCTTTCTAATCTAGTTTTGAAGCCCATGTGTCGTAGACCAATATATCACTATGAGGTCTCTGATGGTTGCTCTAAGTATTACTGAGTTTGTTATTTAGTCGTTTTCCAGATGACGAGGAAAGTTCTATGCCCGAGAGATATATCGGATGTCGTTCAGTTCGCAGGGCGGTATTCCTCTTGAAGGCTCAAAGGACATAGAAAGAAGTTTAGGCAGAGGCTTTAATTTCAAATCGAGCTGGTTAATCTCGCAGATATCTCTCGTGTCATTTTACAGTTTATAATATAGATGATATTTGTAGGCGTCAGATATAGTTTTAGAGAATTTAGCATGGGGGTTGAAAATTTTTACATTGAAAAAGGTTCGGCTGAATCGTCGAGTGTCATTTTCAGTGATCGCTCTTTTGTTGTGAAAGCTTTCGCCATCCAACGATTGAAGTATTGGCTTTCGAAGACCTTGATAGAGCGTTCCCGATGGTTTTCTTTTATAATGAGTTGACACTTGAAAGGTTTTGCATTGTAGCCGAAAGACTTTGCGTGCATATCCAGGTTGTCAAGTATTGCACGGGGACTCTTAGGATCACCTGCAGCGCTTCTATCATCTGCATACCATTTTGGGTAAAATTTGGTTCTTGCAGGAGCTCGATTAAGGGGATTATCCTTTTTCCGTTCATGGCCATTGCGAGGGTATCACCTTGCGTTGTGCGTTCGGCAGATGTCTAAACCGTGTTGTTGACATATAAGTTTAAGGGATGTTGAATGAGTTGACCAGCTCAGGATGTAGTGCCGGACAAAGGAGTTCTACATTTTTCAAAAGGGCAAGTTTTCCATTGAGCGAGTTGAAGGCTTTTTCTGCAGCAATAAGTAGTATGCTGTCCGTTTCGGCATTCTCAAACTCAATCCTCAAGCTGTGGATAGCAATTTCGATTCCACAATTCTAGCCTGAATAGAAATGGAAATTTTTTTCCGAGGTATTCTGAGGTCTGATTTTATACAATGGGTGATTGTTTTGCCTATTATTTGTCACAGAACCTCGCCTAAACCAATAGGCCTTACCACTGGATTTTTGTGCAGAGGTATCAGACGACACGAGTTGTACGCCGTTAGGTTTTTATGGGTAGAACTTTACATGCTATTGTCTAGGATAGCTTGGCAATTGTTTTGCAAAGCTCAATGAATGTCTGTTTGAAGATTTTTTTTCAGGCCGACAAAAAGATATTTTGGAAGCTAGTTTGAAGATATTTTCGAAGATTTTTTTTCAGAGCGACAGAAAAGAGTTTTAATCTGTGATCTCTTCGACACGGTTTTCGAAAATCTAACTCCCTTCGATTCGGGTAAAGTTCAAAGGATTTTTTCGAAAGAGAAAACAAATGAGACAAGTTTCCGGAGAGAAGCGAAGCTCTGGCGATTTTTTTTACTACACTTGATTGCACTAGTTCATAAGCTTCTGCCTTTTTGTGTGATGAAATATTGTGAAAATGAGATTAACAGTCTGACAGAATAAGACTCTACAAATGTATATTTTTCTTGTAGCAGAAAAAGTCAACAGCAACTTTTTTTGATGAGATATGAATAGCAAAGTTTGCAAAACGGTCGAAAACTTCCTGTGGCATAGCTGCAGAAGGATTGTATCCGTTGTACAGATCGTTTCCAGATCAACAAAACTACAAAAATATCGTATTTATTTTTCGGGGGCACGAATTGGTAAACGTTGCTCTTGGTAGAGAGGATATTGATTTTCCGAACGTCCAGAACCTGGATGGGGTGTCGGAAATCAGCAGCGATTTCCTGAGTGAAGATTTGAACAGATGATCTCTCCTTTTGGCATAACCACGGCTGCCCCTTGCTCATATGATTTCAAAAGACTATTTAATATATTTTTTGGTTTATACTGTCTTTTTCCGATGCACAATCCTAATTTTTGAAATAACGAATTTTTGACTGGGTGAAATGGTGAAGGACGATGTAGAAACTTCGGTTGTCATAGTAATTTCTTGTCTCCTGATTATTTTGAAAGAGAAAAAAATGAGACAAGTTTCCGGAGAAGCGAAGCTCCGCTTATTTTTTAATTACACCTGATTGCACTAGTTTTTAAGCTGTAGCCTTTTTGTGTGATGAAATATTTTGCATAGATTTGAAATGCATGAGACAAACAGTCTGAAAGAATACGACTCTACAAATGCATATTATTCTTGTAGCAGAAAGAGTAAACAGCAACTTTTGCACCGCACTGAAAAGGAATTCGAGACATCAGGTTTGTTTTTTTTTGCATAAATAATTACTTTGCGCGTTAATGTTTTGAGAAGCATCAATTAGTAAAATAGCTAGTTTGAAGATATTTTTGAATATATTTTTCAGGCCGACAGAAAAGAGGTTCAATCTGTGATCTTTTTGACACCGTTTTCGAACATCAAACTCCTTTCAATTCGGGTAAAATTCAGAGGAGTTTTTGTGTGATTGTTGTAATCCTCGCCATCAATTTCAGTTCATCGCTAAATTAAAGTAGCAGGGCAATATACCTCCCCCGTAGCTTATCTTTGTGTAGTGATCCTTTTCATTGTTGTTCAAAGTTTCAAGATTTCGTAGTTTCCATTGCATGACTGTTTCAGCAGTGAAATATGGCAAGAAGATTAAAGACGTTTTGAAGTTTTATCTGAAAAAATGCATGTCTTTGCCCAAATCTGGTTTGTCCTTTTCCTTAATTATCCACTAAAGTTTGGATTTAGAGTGTGATATATGAGATTGAATCAAATTATTATTTAGGAATGTCACAGACGCATATTCAGCTGATCTGTGATCAATTGAAAAATCAAGACCAACTGAGATTTGCTGTTCGTGTAGAACTGGCTTTACCATCTTCGGAAGAATCAGGAAAACGAGCTAAATACATAGCTATAATCACGAAAGCCGAGTCACCTGGAGAATCTTTTAGCAGAAATGCAATTTTTGGCTTCGATTTAGCAGAGAACGAATTGACAACAATCGGAATCAGTTTTCCGATTGTTAATGGAGTGAAGTTGAGTTTCTACGGCGACGGGAAATTGATGATTTTTTCACCAAGTGACAATTTCTCTTATGTCTTCAGGCCTGTTTCTGTTCAAGCAATGTGGTAAGCGTAAGTCTTAATTTGGAATATCTGGTTGCTGTAGAATTATCAGACTATGTTCCGAAGACAGTTATCGTGTTTGAAAATTGAGATAACAGATTTTTTTACCCTTGCGATGAGCAAAGGTATTGCAACCGGGAACAGAGGGTATTGCAGCCTAGAGGTAACGAATACGCCTGGGACGGCAATGGTCCCGAGTTTGAATCTGATCTGGACCTAATTTTTTTTCAAACAGGAAGTATTGTTTCGAATATAATTTTCGTCATATTAATTGGCCTCTTATGTTTTGTCGGTTTGGTTGCAACATCTTAGAATCGTTTTTTGCTGCACGCAATTTTCAATAATTTTGCTTGTAGTGTTTTCGTTTACTCCTGTAATTTATAATGTTGTTTACCTTTTTTCGTAATTCTTTTTTTTGTTTTGCTTAAAAACTGTATTCGGCGCAAATTATTACGGCCGATTTTTTATGGGCTTAGTGACCTACTTTGGGGTCTTATCAAGGGAAACACAATTTTTTCTCTTTTACTATGTTGGTTTTAATTTTACCATCTCACTTTGTTAGAATTTCGTATTTTCAAGTGTTTTTTCCGGCTTAATAGGGTTCGGCTTATTTGATATCGGCTTAGTAGCCGCCTACTGGGTCGTTTGATGAGCGAAAAAAGTTTGTGTTCTGCGGGGAAGGAAAAATAAATTTTTTAAATTAGCGTTGAAGTTGAAAAAAAAATTTGGGATGAAGAGTTTCTGCTTAGGTATTTCGGTTTTGTTACCTCCTGGTTACTTTTGCTCCGATGCTGATTTTTCATTCTATTGTCTGGGCATGTTTTTTTTCACAACTATCTTCATTCATTGTGATAGATCTGGTTGTATCGCAAATGGTGCGAAGCTCTGCTTCGCCTCTGCGTTGAAAATTCTTTTTCTTTAACCCGTAATTAGCTACCGTTCGTGCAGATTTTTCTCCTGGTCATCAACTTGTTGAACAGAAGCACCAACTATTTATAAACGTGCGTTATTTGGAAAACCAGATCAAGCAGATGGATCTGTGGATTTGGCGTACCGGTTCTTAACGTTCGTCCTTGGGATAAGAAGGATCACAGATATGAGGCATCTTCTATGGAAACATCCAAATCGGCAAATAGGAATAATTAGGAGACATCCAAATCGGCAAATCTCTAACGCTCATTAAAACAAGCGGCGATTGCATTAGGAAAATTTTGAGTTTGATCTCAGGTCATCGATATACTCAATCGGAACATCGGTAAGAAGCTCAGATCTGAATAAAATTATAATTTTCTTTGATATTTGTAGGTATTGTTTCCAGTCATTAGAACGAGTCATATTCGATTCTGATTCAAATAGCTCAAATTATTGGAAGATGGATCAGAATGGGACTATAGAATGGACAAACTCTTACAAATTTTCATCCAGTGAGGTGTTGCTGACTGAATGGAAGACCTTTCCGGACCAAGAATTCGAGCACACTCTTGCATCATCTCCAATGATACGAGCCATGTTAGATATTTATTTTAGCTTCATTGACCATTTGGTTTAATTTTACAATCTTCTCGGCTTTGCTATCTAATTTTTCTCCCTAAGTTCTTTTATTCCAATAATTAAGCATGGTAATTATAAGAAAACCCTATGATCCTCCTTTTTCTGATTACTCTGATCTTCTTTTTTGGTATGTTTGTTTTGCACAAGCGAAAGAATTTATGTTTTTATTTAATGCTTTAGAATTTTATTTCGGAAGTTATTTAAGTCTTCGCTTTTTCTCAAAATTTGTATACATTAATGATCCTATTGCTTTGTGTTTGAATTATTAATCGAGATAGCGCAGGTTTGCACTAATTGCTGTATATAATACTCGGGCTTCAATTCAGCGTGGCAGACGAACTCTCGGAGACAGAGCAAATCATCCTGTCGGCACTTCGTGATTTGATCCCTCTGTTCGATCTAGACGATATCACGCCCAAAGCACTTCGCCTGGCTGTACAGGAACACATTGGCCTTGACAATCCAATTCAACTCACGCAACTCAAATCTACTTTCGACAAGCTAATGATGTTCACGTGCAATCAAGCCGAAGCACCTAGTCGAATTTTTGATCACGTTTACTTGGGAAACGAGGGAAACGCGACCAACCGAGATGAGATGAAAAAACTTGGGTATGTGGCATTTATGTGATACGAAATTGAACAAAATATTTGGCATTAACTGATAAGAGTGTTTTAGGATCACACATGTTTTGAATATATCAAATGAAATTGACAATCTGTTTCCTCACGACTTTGAATATATGAAATTACAAGTTGACGATGAGCCGACAGTTGACCTTATGAAACATTGGCAAACAATGACGAACAAGTTTATAGAATCGGCCAAGTGAGTTCCCTAGAGTTTTGTCAAATGAGTAGAATGACCTCGAACTTTTGACCTCTTTGCGCACTATCTTTTTGGGTTATGGCGTAGTTAATTTTGTTTTCAGGAATAAAAAGGGAAAAATTCTGGTTCATTGCAAAATGGGAAAATCGAGAAGTGCGGCAACAGTTAGTAATTAGTATGTTCAATTTTCAATAGTTTTCGCAATTTGAAGATAGTCATCTATTCTAGGTGGTCGCCTATGCAATGAAAACAAAAGGTTGGACGGACATCGAAGCGCTAGAGTTTGTAAAAACGAAGCGACCAGTCATCTGTCCAAATCAGGGATTTCTTGGTCAGCTTCATATCTACTCGGGAATATTGGAAGCAAAGTGAGTATCAGGGCTCGAATTGAACACTATCGTGTAAATTAACGGAGATAAGACTATTATTTAGATAGTTTGTTTTATTTCACAAGGGGAGTGTCTACGATTTAACATTTTTCAACCTAAGTCGCAAATAAAAGTGCTCATTTGGTTGGTGGAATTTTGCAGCATGATATTGTTTACTTTTGCTGCATTAGCATTATATCTGTTATAATTCACTGCATATCTTTTTATCTGGTTTATTGCTGGTTAGTGATTGAAGGTTAAGCGTCAGTGGCACAGATGCCAGAACTTGTGACTCTTAATACTACGTCGGGGATCGATTCCGGCACATAGCAGAACTTTAGTTGGTTTTCCTGATTTCACTTTTTGGCACTTTTAAAGCTATTTATTGCCCTTTTTTTGCGTGTGTTAGCGAAGCGAAGCTTTGCTTCTTTGTTGAAAGTTACTCAAACACAATTTTGATTCTTTGCGTTTTGCTAATGAAACATTTGAACATCATCAGGCAGACAACAAAACTGAAAAAGAAAACATACATGAAGAGTGCAAAAAAACTATGAGAAAATAGGTTTACAAGAAACCCAGAAGTATAAAGCTGTCACTCGCCAGTAAAATACTGGAACAAAGAAAACAATGTATGTCACACGCGCAAGGCTAGCTCACGGGTCTGATACTACTCCCGCTAGTTCAGTTCCAGGTGCTTTCTCGCGATCTGTTGCGCTTCTGGAGTGAGCAGTTTCCAGTCGTCATTGGAAGAATCGATGACAGTGGTTTTCATGTTTTTCCAGCTTCAAACGCACTCGTCAAAGTGCGCCCCTACATATGCCGTTGGTGCTGAGCGTTCCTTAAGACGAGTATAAAGATGCCGACTGGTTTCGCTCATATAGCTGGTTGACCACTTGACCATCCAGGACAGACAATGTGATAGATAACTCGACTTTTCAGATCTTTAGGAACATGCGACTACAGGAAGCTGTCAGTTTATTCATGAAATTTTCAGACCTTTGGCCAAGGTAATGCATAACTAGAACAGATTTTTTTATATAGATCGTCGGAAAAACCGGTGTTTGTGAGGTTTTGACTGAAATCAACTTCAAAAACGCTCTATAATTGATCGGTTCGTACACACTTGGCGGGTATTGATGATCTTCGAAAGATTTTTTTTTCGCCCTGTCAATCCGTTTATGGAAGGCGCTCGATGTAAAAGTGGGGCTAAATTTTTAGTTACTGTGCCCTCGATGATGTCACATTTATATTTCCTAGCGTAGCGTAAGCTCTGATTGAAAGCAACAACCCTGTATCAGTTGGCTTGGATTAACAAGATATTTGCAGCTTTCTTGCTTCTTTTTACTAGCTTGTTAAGACACTGAATGTAGTAATTGCTTTCTTCCTCGGCCGTAAACTGAAGACACGGATGTAAAGATTATGCGGTTTCCAAGATCTTCTGAATATCGTCCTTGCGGCCCGTTCTTATGATGTCGACATGTCTCCCAAAAACTTAAGCTTAATGTATACCACACGAGCTGTTTTTCTGCATTCACAGGCAATTTGCTACACTTTCTAAGGCATCACTGCTAGCATTACGAACACGGAATAAAATAGGTTGTCGAGTGACACGTTGACTAAATTACAAGCAAATATGGGTTGATGTAGCACTGACCGAGACCTCAGGGCCAACGTTCACCGGAAGGTCCGACGTTCTGACACCTATGTTGTCACTTTTCAAATCATTCGTCAAATCTTTGGACGCGTCACCAATGATAGCTGGTTCAAACTGCTTCATCTAGATGTTAACCAGGATGACAGCCATTGTTTTCACCTTGTTGTACTTCATTCAGCTTCTTTTTCTCTGCCGATGAAATGTGGATGTTCGATTCAGACACACCTTTGAAATATGAGGCCAGTTTCGAGTTCAAAGCCGCATAACAATTTCCTGCGAAAGATAGCACAGCACGAAAAGGCGTCTCGCGTTCAGGGAGTTTTGCAAGTCCATAGAGTCTAGCAGGAGCACCTCCGGTAGATATCATTTCAATGTAAAAGCATCAGTGATCTTCTGCGCTTCCTTCACGCAGCAGAGTTGCTCGTTGGGTTAATTTTTCATAGCTTTGACATGTGTTTTCTTGCTGTTGATCGTTACCTCACAAAACTCGAGACTATTGAGCAAGCTCAAGAGCCTAGCTTCGTAGTCGTTCTCGGTCATTAGGCAAAAACCAGCCCACTTTTTGTGAACTGACCTTCAAGTATTATCTGACTTTCTTGACAGCACGATCAGCTCCTTACTGCATAGTGATTTTGCTATACCAAATGGTCCACACGTAATTATGGCATCAGTGCTTATGCCTTTTCGTTTTTCTGATTGAAGCAGTTGGTTGACATAAGCCAAAAAAAATCTAGTTATTTAAACTTGTCCCTAACTGGACGTTAAGGGCCTAAGAACAGCAAGTCAACAATCTATCGTGGAGGCTGAAGTTCATCAATGAGGCAAACGGAGTTGCCAACCACATGAGCAAACGGAGTTGCCCTCCCTGCGTAAGTAGCCAGTTTTTGAAGTCGTTCGGGTATTTCCCGATTTTTATACGCTTCGCATGAAAGACGATGCTGTTCCTCACGCAGTCCGAGATTTCAGAGCTGGTCGGATCCGCGTGCTTTCTCTTCAACTTGTCCTCGGTAGAAAGGCATGACTTGCTTGCTTCGCTTAGCTGTTTTCGCAGGAGAGGGAGTTGAGCACGGCCGTTCTCTCGAAGCAACCGTTTTCTGGAAGGTGGAACCTTAGAAAGCCAGTAATCAAATCATTCTTCAAACACGCGCATAGAAAATGCTTCGTGTATTGCGGAATTTCTGGATTTCAGCAAAGATTTTTTGTAGTGTAGGCACAAGTGGGGGAAAAAAGTAGGGAAAGTTCCTCAAAAGTGCGCAAAGTTGGAAGCATTGATACATCGGCTGATAGAAAACAATAAAATCCATTGCTTTAATTTCAAAAGTTTATGCCATTTACTAGTATCATTAGGCAAACAAAAAAAAATGAAAAAAAAAACAAATGAAAAGGGCAACAAACTATGACCAAATAGGTTTACAAGAAACCCAAGTGAACACAGAAAACTTGATGTCACACGCATAAGGACACGTTTTGTTGATTCTTCGTGTGTGTTTCAGTTTTGTTTTTTGCCTGATAATGCCAGTAGATGGCAAAAACGGTTGTTTTTTTTTTTTAGTTTTATATTTTCCAGTGGAATGATATAATACCTAATTTTCTCAATTTGGGTTCTGTTTTGTTGGAAAATTATCAAACATGAAACATACTTGAAATTAGAAAAGGTAATATCTCTGTTATTGAGTGTCAATGAACAAAGTGAATTTATCTATTTAGGTAGTGTGGTATTGGCATTTTTTTATTTGAGGAAATTTTCCTTCTTTTTGTTCTCACTCTTCGGTTGTTTGGTTTGCTTCAAGTTAACAAAAAATTAATCATGCTGAAATTTGTAGTTTTTTTTGCAGTTCTACTTTTGGATTCGTTGTAAATTCGTTTCAAATTCCTTAGCTAAGACGAATGCAAGTTTTTTTAAAAGTCTTTAGTATTGACCCAGTTGTTTCTAATTGTGTTAGAGTTATGAAAAAGGGAAGTGCCGATCATATAGAATTCTTAAATGCAATGAGCTTATTGTGATACTTTCTTTGTCTTTCAATTTTCAAAAGCTGAAAATGTTTTTTTTTACCTTTCGTGAGTGGAAAGTCATTGAATCATTTTCAACTTCCGCTCGTGTAATATTAAAGCTTATTCAATTGTGTTGGTTGTGTTACTCGACTGTTCTTTTGAAATTGGATTATCCGTTTACCAAAACATCATTTCAATTTTTCGAACTATTTTATTTCGACTTTATTTTGTCTTTTTTTTCTATTGTCCAGCTTGTATTGCTAGGCTTGCATTGTATAGCAGGTGATGCGATGCGCCGCTTTGCCTCTCTGTGCAAATATTGACCGTTGATGAGTTTTCTTTTTTTTTCAGTCGCCATAAAATAAACCCTCTGTGGAGTGGGTCGAGTGTTGAAGACGATGGAAGAAACACGGGGATTGAAAGAACGAGGAAGGAAAATGTTAAAAGAGTTAAATCTCTTGACTGTAATGTTTCTCGCGCGAGACTTGCAAATCTCGCCGTTTCCTCACACGTTCGCAGGACGAAAGAAAAATTCGAATCTGGAGTATTTGACTTCTGCTTCCAAGTTCCGATAGATTCTAAGCTCCAAAGCGCTATGAAAGGTAAATTGGCGTTGAGAGTCTGCTAGAAGTTGTTGAATGTATTTTTTTAGGCTGGTTGGTTTTACAAATTGAACAATTTTTAAAATTCAATTTAGAATTTAAAACAAGGATAGCCAAATACTGTGCAAATAGCACAGAATGTTCAGACCATAGTCATGAAAAACTTTTTTTTTCAAATTATTGTCGTTTTTTTTTGTGTGAGGTGTGATAATAAAATCTGAATGAATAGTCAAATAGGCCAATTGGAAAACAGTTTTTGTAGAAAAATGACTAGGAGAACGAAGAAAAAAAGTTCGTGAAAACATTCAAGAAATGTTCTATTTTTTTTTTGCGGAAAATTTTTAGTTTTTGATTCCCAAATTGACGCTAGAAATGTAAAAAATTAACTTAACTCTAATAAAACTTAATTTTCCAGGATTAAATTAAGCTTAAATATGCTATTTTAAGCCTGGAAACCAGATTTTGGATACAAAAATTTGAAACCGGTTTTTCTCGACACAGAAATTTTTTAATGTTCGAATCACGAACATTAAATCCCAGCGAAATAAAGTTGTTACGTTTTGATCCAGTTTTCTCAAATTGGGTTAGTTTTATTAACCTTGCGATAAGCAAGTGTATTGAAATCGGGTGCTAGGCTTTTTTCCCGTAAACAACTTTGTCCACAGGTTGATCCTCCAATTTCAAGATCTCTATTTTCAGCACGCTGCACTCTGAATTGAAGCAGTCGTCTCTCTGTTAGAAACTGCAACAGACATTTTTTGAGCATGCTAGCCTTTTGATTTTGCGTCCTCTTCGAAATTTGCTTTTTAGGTTGGTTGTTATTTTATCATTTTGGTTTTTAAATTTCATTTACCCTTGCGATAAGCAAGGGTATTGCAATCGGGTACTAGACTTTTTCCCGTAAATACTTCAAGCTTAGGTCTCATCTCCTAGATCCTGGACTCATTCATCCGCTAGGCCTTTGTGATGCAACAGAGATATTTTGAGCATGTTAGCATTTCAAATATACTGCCTATTCAAAATTTAATTATTATTTGGTTGTAATTTTACCAACTCTAAAAATTCATTTTTGTTTTTTCTTTTTATTTCTCGGTTTAATTGGTTCCGGCCTATTTTATATCGGCTGCTTAATGTCGCCTTATTGCGCCGTTTGATGAGAGAAAAAAAGATAATGTGTGCGTGGGGGGTGCGTTTTGAGCGAGGGGTGAGCTTTAACAATTTTTTATAGTGTTGAATTTTCTTCTGAATTTTTGACTTTTAAGGGTTCTGCTCGGACGTTTTTTTTCTACCGTCTGTTAAGTTTTACGATGCCAAATTTTAACATTCTATTGTATTACGTTTTTTTTTCAAGAATTTATCTAAGTTCTTTTTACTTTTCTTATTTTTGTTTCGATTAATTGTATCTATTTTTTGACTGAAGTTTTTTCGACCCTTTTCTTTCGAGTATTGCATCGCAAGTGTTGTGCGAAGCTCAGCTTCGTGTTAAATTTTTTCCTTTTCTTTTTTTCTCGGTTAAATAAGTTTTGGCCTATATTTTTCTTATTGGCCTCATATTGCGTCCTTTTCAAAAAAATGTGTACGTATGTGTAATGAAGGGGATGGAACTTTATCAAATTTTTCATTTCTTAAGTCTTTTTTTTCTGAATTTCGTTTTTGTTTCCTTTTTTCTTCTCAGTTTAATATTTCAGCCTATTTTTATCGGCTCATTGGCCTCATATTTTGTCGTTTGCTGGGCCAAAAAAAATTGTGTGCGTATGTGTATTGAAGTGGATGGGGCTCAAACAACTTTTTGTTAGTTTTTTAAATTTCATTTTTTTTTGTTTTTTCTTTTTTTTTCGGGCTGATAAGTTTCTGCCTATTTTATATAGGCTTATTGGCCTCATTTTTTGTCGCTTGATAACCGAAAACAGTTTTTGTGTGCTTGTGTGTTTTGAGGGAATGGGGGGGATAAAAACTTTTTTAAATTAGTTTTCAAGTTTTTTAGGCTTTTCGGCTTAAAGGGTTTCCTCTAAGGTATTTTCGACTTGTTTGTAGCTTGATAAGTTTTTTTTCTGATTATATTTTTATCTTCTATTGTCCTTGTGTGAGTTTTTGATACTTTTTTATTCGGTCTGATTTCGGCGTTTCGGATTTTTTTTCTTCGATTTAGTGGCTGTTTTGTATTGTATCGCAAGTGGTGCGAAGCTCGGCTTCGCCTCTGTGTCTAAAAATTGTCAATGTTTTAAAATGCCTCTGCTTAAGAATTATTCCCTACTGAAGCATCTACTGAAACAAGGTTTGTTTAGGTAAATTTAACTCGACGATAGGTAAAAATGCTGGCAATTTACTCTCGTCGAAACCGAAGCAACCTCTGGCTTTTCGTAACTCTATAAATGTGCAGTATTGGGACAAAAGTCCAAAGAATTCAATCGATGAAGACTCGGAGGCTCAGAGAGGAAGTGAAAACGAAGTTCTTGAAGACGTCCAGAAACTGACATCGGGAGTAGTCAAGGCATGAACAGATCATTTTTTTTTATTTTTTACAGTTTCCCCCCTTTCTATTGGAATGTTTTTCCTTAAAATGTAGCGACGTTTGAACTTCCCTTCTTGGAAATTTTTTGAACCCCGTAAATTATTTATTGTAGACTTGACTTCAAACACGTTTGTTTTAAAAATTAACTCTGAGTTAAGGGTACCGAGGGCAAAGATTTAAGTTTGGATGATATGCCGAATAAATATTGTGATGACGAACATCGCATCATCTTGGGGCAGACTTAAGTTTGGATATCGGCTATGCGTTTTAAACGATTTCTTTTAAAGTTAAATGAGATTGAAATTACAGAAGAGGACCAGCGAAATTCTATCATGGATTGATGGTCAAAGGAGAAGTCGTCCCGTCAATCAAACAATCACGTGGAATGGTTCTGAGTATCATTGTATCGAAGATAAGTGTCTAAATACATCAAATGCTCACATAAAATCATCAGATCCGAACATCGCGAAAAATTTATCAGGAATTCAATTTCTTATTGATTTCTTCAACCATCTGGGTGCTAAGTTTGAATCATAGAAGCTAATCATTCCATTACTTTATGATAATTTTATCATAATTGCTGCCAATGTACAAATCTGACCGCCAAACAAAGATTATTTCTATTGAAACGTAAAATATGCTTGGTGCTGTAAGTTAAACATTAGATAGATAAATTTAAATGCTTGTTTTTGTAGTAGTTTCTCAAGCAAACGCTTATATATTATTTCCAGGGCGCTTTTTTCCACGTCTAACTCGCTTAAATTGGTGCACAACAAACTGGCACTATTCTGCATCACATTTCAACCTTAACAATATAATAGCATGTGCTGTATCAGCTTTATTGAAGGCTAGTGGTTTAAAACAGCAAGGTTATATTGCGTAGTTCGCAACCCGCACCGTGCGCCCATGGATTCTAATTGATTATAATGGATTTCCGAGACAAAAATAATCGATTATAATCCATTACGGATGTAAATTTCAGACCACGAAATCGATTATATTGCCATTATAATCGATTATTTTGAGAAAAAATAATCCATTCTAATCAATTATAATCCCTTATTTTTGTCACTGAAATCGATTACTTTGTCAAGAAAATCCATTATAATCGATTATTTATGAGGTAAAAAAATTCATTATAATCCATTATAATCGATTATTTATGAGGTAAAAAAATCCATTATAATCCATTATAATCGATTATAATCCATTGTAGTTAGCTAATTCAGCGATTCTATTTTTAGTTCTAATTATGCCTGGAAAAAAAGCAAGTTTAAAGATGTAAAATTACAAAACTGCAAATATACGAAAACATGCATATAAAAAATTAATTAACCTTCGGATTTTTAAATTAAGCTAATCAGTTTGTTGTATATTCTGGTCAATAGCATTCAAGGCCTCCTGTGCTCGAGCAAGGTTTATTGCGGCAGTCTGCCGACGTTGCAGGATTATTTCCGGTCCCAGGCGATTGAGACTGGCCTTAGCTTCTTCATATGCCTCCATGGGGCATTTGGCGTACTTGGTTTTAATTGCTTCTAAACACTCAATTATTCCATGGTACATCAATAAACTTGTCAGAAAAAAACCAGACTATAAATATAGGTATTAACTCACGCTCCCAAACTTTTTTCCCAGATTCTAGGAAGGCAGGTCGGCAGTGTGAACCGTGTGACTTCCGAGGCGAGACCATGTGCTCCATTATTTGACATCCATTTTTTCGTCCATACTTAGCCTCGTTAGAAGCAGATACTTGCCATAAATCACAACCTTCTCATTCAACTTTTTCACCTGAGTTGTCAACCGGTACTGGTTTACCTATGAAAGTCTCTACTCGTCCAACCTATGGGCAGATATAGATGAAAGGAAAAAAATCAAAATAATTGCTTTGACTTTTCAGTAATTGTGATGTAATGAACGAACATACCAAAGAGTTCAACGACTTATCAAGACGAACAGAGGTATCAACCATTGATCTCATGAAGCTACCAACCCCCTCATTGAGTGTCAGGGATGACTTATCGTTTCTTGCTATAATATTCTCAAAACGATAAAAACTGTTTGTTATGAATTCCTTGAACTCCTGAAATCAGATTTCGTGCATAAATTATAAGTCATTTCTTTCAGAAAAATTCTCAAAAACGAACAAGTTCTATAGACACAGTTTGAGGCTGAGGATTGTTGATGCGCAAGGAAGTGGTAATATGTTGATTACGGCTCTGAGTGTTCTGATCATTTTCAGTTGCGAAATCATGAACAAATTTTTTCGGCGTTTGGATGGCGGCTCTACTGAGGCCGAAAAACCAGGTTGCCTCACTTGTGGCTCCTGTGTTTGAAACGGAACGTAATTTCCAAAGTTAGAAGGACTTAATTCTCTACCTAAAATGAAGAGCACTCAACATACGACAATTTAAATCTAATAAACTAGCTGGACAAACTGAAGTCTTCAATCCATAATTGACGTGCACTCAAAATACAAGAACTCAAATCTGCAAAATCCAAAAAATAAATACCGGTTGGGACGAGCTGTACGCTTGCTGGCCAATTTGGTCAACATACCGGGGTTAAAACCGATTTCCGAAATACCCGCAGTAAAATTAGATACTGGAACAGTTCTCAAAATATGGGGCGAAGGCTGAAGCTCAGTATAAACTGGAGGCACTTGAACTGAGGTCGACGTCTCCACTGAAGTTGAAGGAATGTACGGTTCAGGTTCGTAAAGTGGCTCCTCATTATCAGCGGTGAGGTTCTTACAGGCATACGAAAGTTTCATCATTTATGCTTGGATGTAATGTTCGGGACCAATGGCATAGATTCTAGCAGAATACGATTTCTTTCGAAAGTGAATTGTGATGATCTGATTCCTCTACAAATAAAGCAGTTCTTAGCGGTGCAAGGCGAACTCTAACCAAAATTAATCAAAATTAAGTCTACGTACTTGATATGATTGTCGCACGTCAACGTGGTCTTTTATTTGATCAGAGAGCACCCGCAAGCAGCCCTGTCTTCGATCGTGGAAGTAGAACACAAGAATCCAGGTGTTAGCGAGATGCTGTCTAACGGTACTTTCTAGCTCTCTTATGTGGTCGTTCAACACACGGTTTCCTTGGCGGGACCAAGACATCTTAACAGATTGAAACCTGAAGTTTCTACCTTACAAAAACTGACTCAAAAGAACATTATCAAACAATTTAAAAAAAACATCCAATTAACGACCAAAAAACGAACTTTTTTCTTGAAAGCTCCAACGAAACAATACCAAAACGAAACAGCAGTAGTTTGGAAAAAATAATTGGAAACACGATAACTGAAATGATTAACAACAACTGTAATTTAGCAATGTACTGAATGGCATTCACAGATTTCTGAATTGATCAAACAATTAGCTCAAACTTATTTCGAACCGAATGACTTTCTTTGCGAAATATTTCGCTGAAACGAATTGTTAGCAACTAATTTTTTCAATGAATGAAAAAATCGCCCTAAATCTTGACTAGAATATATGTCTTTCATCGGACTTTGATTCACAATGAAACCTTGATTGAAATCGAATGGCTTGCACCAAACAATGATTGGAAGCAAGTGGTTGGCAACGAAGTTTGAAAGTAGAAGAATGGATTGGACCAAACATTGCTTTAAACTAAACCTCCGGTAACAAAAATTTCGAACGAATTGAAAATTTTGCATAAGGTCTCGGCTAGAACTAATTAACTGGCGCCAAACTTTCATTTACAAAGAAAAGCTTACACCAAACATCGATTTAAATTGATTGGCCTGAATCAATTGTTTTTTTCAAGCGAAAAATTTGCTAGCCTACGGTTTCCACGGAACTTTTATGAAATTAGTGGCTTGCACCAAACATTGATTTGAACTGAATAGCTGGTAAAAAAATCACTCGTACCGAATATTTTGCACCAATTCTTGAATAAAACTGATTGGTTGGCGCCAAACTTTGATTTAAAGTGAAAGGCTTACACCAAACATCGATTTAAGTGAGTGTTTTTAACCAAACTTTTGTTTAAAGCTAAGGGTTTGCTAACTTACAGATCTGTATGGCTCGCACCAAACTTTGACTGCAACTACAAGGATTGCAATAAAATTAAATCTCACGTCAATTACTTAAACCAAACTTTGAGTTGAATTGTATGGTTTGCACCAAATTTTAAACGGCTTACGCCAACCATTGATTCAAATCGAATGATTTGAACCAAACTTTGACTTGAACTGGGAGGATTTCAAAAAAGTTTGATTTCAAGTCAATTAATTTAAACAAACCTAGTTAAATTGAATGGTTTTGAACCAAACTTTGAATGGCTTACACCAACCATTGATTCAAATCGAACGGTTTGCACCAAATCTTGACTTGAACTGGGAGGATTTCAAAAAAGTTTGATTTCAAGTCAATTAATTTAAACAAACCTAGTTGAATTGAATGGTTTTGAACCAAACTTTGAATGGCTTACACCAACCATTGATTCAAATCGAACGGTTTGCACCAAACCTTGACTTGAACTGGGAGGATTGCAAAAAAGTTTGATTTCAAGTCAATTAATATAAACAAACCTAGTTAAATTGAATGGTTTTGAACCAAACTTTGAATGGCTTACACCAACCATTGATTCAAATCGAACGGTTTGCACCAAACCTTGACTTGAACTGGGAGGATTGCAAAAAAGTTTGATTTCAAGTCAATTAATATAAACAAACCTAGTTAAATTGAATCGTTTTGAACCAAACTTTGAATGGCTTACACCAACCATTGATTCAAATCGAACGGTTTGCACCAAACCTTGACTTGAACTGGGAGGATTGCAAAAAAGTTTGATTTCAAGTCAATTAATTTAAACAAACCTAGTTAAATTGAATGGTTTTGCACCAAACTTTGAATGGCTTACACCAACCATTGATTCAAATCGAATGGTTTGCACCAAACGTTGATTTGGAGCAAATGGTTTCCACTGATTTCTTTTCTGAAATGAGTGGCTTGCACCAAACATTGATTTGAACTGAATAGCTGGTAATAAAATTTCGCTAGAACGGAGTATTTTGCACCAATTCTTGAAAAAAAAACAGATTGTCTGGCGCCAAACTTTGATTTACAGAGAAAGGATTTCACCAAACATCGATTTAAGTGAGTGGTTTGCACCAAACGTTTGTATTAAGGCAAGCGTTTGCTAAGTTTCAGAACTGAATGGTTTGCACCAAACCTTGACTGAAACTGGGAGGATTGCAAAAAAATTGTTTTCAAGTCAATTAGTTTAACCAAACTGAGTTAAATCGAATGGTTTGCACCAAACTTTAAACGACTTACACCAACCCTTGATTCATATAAAATGATTTGCACCGAACGTTGATTTGAAGCGAATGGTTTGCACCGAACTTTCAAATTAAATGATTAAATCACAGTTCGGTGAAAGCCATTCTTTTCATATGAAAGTTCGGACCGTTCGCTTCAAATCAACGTTCGGTGCAAACCATTCGATTTGAATCAATGTTTGGTGCAAGCCATTCTTTTGATGAAGGTTCACTGCAAACCATTTGTTTCAAATCAAAGTTTTGTGCAAACCATTCGTTGGTCGGTGTCAGCATTTTAATGTATATCAAAGGCGGGCGCAGGCCTTCCAGTTTTAGCCAAAACCTAATGCAAACTACTTAGTCCGTGAAAAAAATTGGTTGCCAGCCATTCAGTTTGAATCACATTTCGGAAGCTGAACGGCTGGCAGCAAATTTATTTCAAGGACTAATTAGTTTGCATTAAGTTTTGTCTAGAACTGAAAGACCTGCGCCCGCTTGTGATTCACATCAAATGGCTGACACCGACCTTTGATTAAATCAAATGGTTTGCAGTGAAGTTTTATGAAATGAAAGGCTTGCACCAAACATTGATTTGCTGTGAAAGGCTGGCAACGAAATTGCACGAGCTGAATATTTTAGACCAAGTCTTGAATAG